ATCGCTGGTCATTCAAGAGATGCAAATTGAAACGATGCTAAGATTCCATCTCACTCCAGAAAGAATGGCAATCATGAAGCAATCAATAACCAATGCTGGAGGAGATATGGGGATAAACAAAACCTCCCTTGTTGGTACAGGTGTAGACTGGTTCAACCACTGTGGAAATCAATGTGGTGATTCCTCAAAAAATTAAACTAGAGGCTACATTTGACCCGTATTCCCCTTCTTTGTTTCTTTCCAAAACAATTAAAAACATATGCACACCCATGGTTATAGTATGGCATGGCTCACAACAGCTAAATCTTGGAAACAGCCCAAATGCCCATCATGAATGGATAATCAAGATGCCCTTTTTTCTTGTGCAGTGGAGTACTACCCTTTCATGAAGAAGGATAAAGGTGAGACATTTCTTGACACCTGAAATCAAACTCATGAGTTTGTGCTTGCCAGGCAGGTGCTTGTGCCGCTGAACTATATCCCTGGCCCAAACTGATGCACTTTAAAGACATATTCTTTTTTTTTTTTTAAACCATATTCTTAAGTGCAATAAATCAGAGAAAGCAAAGGGTAGGAGAAATCAGTCTCCATTAGGTTGATGAATTAAAACAGGAAACAACAGCTTCCAAGAGCCAACGTAAATATGTGTAAATACTGCATTGTTTCTCTGGTGTGAGAAACCAAAAGTGTAAAGAAGGACCAGTATACAATAGATGCTGGGAAGTGGGAAGAAAATATTCCAGTGAGAAGGGGAACAAGGGAGGAACAGGGGGAAAGAAAGAAGGAATAAGAAAAAAGAGGAGGGAAAAATGAAAACAAAGCTTTTTTTAAATAAGGAGGGAAAGAAGGTTGGAGGGAGTGGAGGGAAATGGGGAAAAAAGAAAAAAGATATATCCTATGCAGGTGCACACTCCCTGTAATTAATGTTATTAGTATGTTTATATAAAAATGCCAATAAAAATACTACAAATTAAAAGATTGGCTTCCCACTCATTCTCAAGTAACCACAGGTTGTTTTATAACAGGGGAAGCTAAGGGTGGGAGAAATCAGTCTCCATTAGATTGACAAATTAAAACATGAAACGATTTCCAGGGGCCACGTGAAAAGGAATCAGTTCAGGGAGCATTTGTTGAGGGCCTACCACATTCCCTGGCTCCTGTCCTCAAGAAGTTCGCAGTTTAGAAGAGAAAAAACTACACAGAAGAAGCCCCCAAACAAGGCAGGCAGACAGGTGCTAGGATGGAAGATGGGTATAGGTCCACAGGAACAGGAAAAGGGGCCTGGCTGTGACAGCAGGCCACACCCTAGTGGCATCAGGGTTGGAGGAGGAAAAGAGGTGCCAGGGAAGACATCCAGCCTAGATCTCCCTCCACATCTGCATCATGGTGCTGCAGCAGTGGGCCCCGCCAGCACATGGACTGAAGACAAGAGAAGCCGGAGTAGCTTCACTCCCAGGTCTGTCACTGGGCATCACCTGGAAACAAGTGGAAAAGGAATGGCTCAACTGCCTGAGGGTTGGGACCCAGGACGGAGGGGGCGAGGAGAAGACAAAGTGGCACTGTGGGGAGAGATCCTGTGGTCCAGGTCACTGAGAGCTTTTGTAGTCCAGGCAGGGTGTGAGCCCAGAGAGGCCATGTGACCATCCCCTGTGAAAGAATGCTTTGCTGTCCATCCCTGGCTTCAGGGGTTTAGGGAGCCTTGCATCCGACTCAGTGCTGAAGTACAAGAGCAGAAGCCAGGTTCAGTGGTACAAGTGTAGTCCCCAAATTCTGGGAGACCAGAGACCAAGGCAGGAGGATGTCAGGTTGTAGCCCAGCCCAAACAACTTAGTGATTAATGAGAGCTTGTCTCAAAAAAATGAAAAAGGACTGGGGATGTAGCCCTGTGCAAAGAGCCTGGAGTCAGTCTCCAGTGCGGACCTGAGGAAGGGCAGCATTCACAGCTGAGCTTCCCAAGAGCCACTCGTGTGAAATGCCTGTGCTTACAGCTGTCTTGTGAACCCTCAGACTATGAGTAGGAGCCACGCTGAAAGCCCACATTCTCTACGAGGAGTCATCCCTGAGCCCAGCTGGAAGGTGGAAGTTTGATGGCACTAGTGAAACTGTCTCTGAAGTTCTGCAGGCTCGCTGCGGTGTAGGTGAGCTGCCAACTGAAAAATGACTGGAAAAGAAGAAAGCCTGCATTGGACTTGACACAGTCACATGCTGCTTCCGGAAGGGTCTGGGCTTGGGATTCAGACCACATTGAGGCGTTTGGTTCGGTCACTTCCCTTTGTTCCATGCACATTTGAGGGCCTGTTGTGTTCCAGGAAATGACTGTGTGATTTTAGGTAAACAACTTTTTAAATCTCACTTTTTCTCTTCTGGGAAACTAAAAAAGAAATGTATTCCCTGGCTCATTTTTAAAATTAGGTCAAAAATAGGTAAGTTGTAAAGGACACACTGAGAACATCAGCTTCAAAACTAAACAGTAGGAGGTAGTTTAGGGGCCTTGGGTTCCCTAGTCTCACTTGGCTTCTGATAAGATTGGGCAACCCTGACCCTTGATTGGGGTTCCTAGGTTGGCTTCCAGGTTGTTTTGTCTTCCTGAGAACTCTTAGCCAGGTATTCACACTCCCGCCAGCAAGACATAAAACACAGTGGAAGAGAAAGTTTTTCCCATGGCTTCCTGGCACAACCTGGCTGTTAGTTGAGAAGAGAAGCCTCTCTGGTACCCTGCAGTTGATCAGACTGTGGCTGTTTGCTCTGGTGGTCTCTTGTTCATTAAGGCCTGTCCTGATGGCCTTCATGCAAAGCAATGGGCAAAGACTGGTCTGTCTCTGCCACTGAAGAAACCCAGGCTCTGTCCCTTTTCACCAAACCTTCCCCAGGGAAGGACCCTACCTTCTACTCCAGGATGCGACCCCTCCCCAACCTGTGGCTCACAAGGCTGTCACTAGTCTTCAGCACAGGCAGTCAAAGCTGCTGTTGACCTGATTCCTCAGAAAAGGGATGGATTTACTAACAGCCTACTGGGAAGGCCAAAGCTTCTAGAATGATATCCAAAACCCTGCTGCGAGGAAGCCCCTGCTATTGTGAGCCGCAAGGAGCCACCTTCATGACTGTCACCACAGCAGACAGCTGGCACCCATAGCAGCCACCCAAGCAAGCCAGGTGCCTGGGCAACCACCTTCTCAGGAAAAGCATGTGCCTGTGCCGTGCTCTTCCTCACAGGTGTGAACTACAGCCCAGAGTGCACTCCTGTGTCTCCGGTCAGTGAACTCCACACTGCAGGCTTTTAATGCAAGGTGTTTTGTTTTGTTGAGTGCCGGGGACTGAACCCAGTGCCTCTGCACTGAGCTACCTCCCCTGCATTCTTTACTTTTTATTCTGAGATAAGTCACTAAGTTGCTCAGGCTGGGCTTCAGCTTGTGATCCTTCTACTTCAAGTTCCCAAAGTAACGCAAAAGTTTTTATTATGTGCCTTTGAGCAAGACCCCCAGAGGCAGAATTCTTCCAGCCAAATTGGAGGATCACAAACTCTGTCAGCTGGAGTGAGCTAGGCAGGTAAGACAAGAAGGAGTGGTGGAGGTCTGCAGGGAATGCCCCTTTAGCCATTCAGGTCAAATCTTTTAAGATACTGGAAAAATGATGCATAAAATGACAACAATGCTTGTAGTGGGGGAAATCGACTAGAAAGGAACATGAAGGAATTTTCTAGGGTAGTGGAAATGCTCTGTGTCTTGCTTTGAGAGTAGTTACATGGTACATATATTCATCTAATAAGTACTTAAGGTCCGTGCATTTTTACTGCATGTTAAGTATCTCTCTCTCTCTCTCTCTCTCTCTCTCTCTCTCTCTCTCTCTCTCACACACACACACACACACACACACACACACAAAATTAAAGCTGGGAGTGATGGTGCCTGCTTTTGATCTTAGTACTCTGTAGTCTGAGACAGGATGACCACAGTGACCTCCAAGCCAGCCAGGACTATATAGGGAGCCCTTGTCTCCAAAAAATACATAAAAGTAAATAAATAAAATTTGAGCCAGTTAATGTCTATCTGCAAACTGATTTGACTCTTAGGGACCCGTTCACAAGCTTCTGATCCAGAGGACTTTGTTCTCTGACATAGGTGGAACCCGAGACGCCGAGGGGTCAAAGTGGCCTTCCCGAAGGCCCAGCTGAATCGTGACCATTCAGGGATGTCCTGTAGCTCCTCAGCCAAAAAAAGGGGAGACTGAGGATGGCCAGGTGAGCTGCCTTCGAGCGCCCAAATTTATTCTGCAGAGTGGTGCAGTCCCTGGCCTTACCCAGAGTTCTTTCACCCGCTGCGGGGGAGGCGGGCCCTAGGGGCTGGGCAGATACTTGTCCTTCGCAGGCCAGAAAGTGAGGCTGTCACCAAATACTACCCCAAAGCAGCGGAAGAGAAGGCGCAGGCAGCCCGGGAGCGCGGGCCCGGCGCGCAGATAAATCACGAACTCCAACTCCACTGACAGTTCAGATTGCTTCCCAGTGCCAAAGGCCGGCCAAGTTCCCAGAAAGAAATCCGATCTCCGAGGCGGCGGCGGTGCAGAGTGAAGCTCACCCAAAGGAGGAGGGAGGATGCCACCCGCAGACGGGGCCTCTGTCGCGGCGGGCACCCGGACGCTGATAGTCTCACCTGCCACCAGCGGGCCCTGAGGTGCAAGTAACCCAAGACTGCAGAGCGCCGGAAAGGCTAAGCAGGACCCTTTCCTACCCAGTCCTCTCGCATCGCTCCCCTGCGCCTTCTCTCCCCACCCCAGAGGCTAGCAGGTGTCCGTGGAGCAGAGGCCGCCCTGGCCACTCAGGTCCCAGGTATCCACCGAGGGGCCTCGGGGGACTGCAAGCGCCGCGGTGGGGGCGGGGAGGCTCAGCGGTCAAATCCCGGCCCGCAACCTGCAGGTCCCTTCCCGCCGCAGCCGGGCCCGCAGCCGGCACCCGTACTGATTGGCTCTCGCCGCCCGCCTCCCGCCAATCCGGGCCAATCCGGGCAGCGAAAACTGGAGCAGCCGTAGGAGTGGGCGAGGCCTAGGGAAAGTCGCGCTCCCTCAGGGTTCCGCCGGCTCCGGCCGCCCCAGCCCAGCCCGCGCCCTCGGTGCCGCCTCCGGGCCGCGTTTTTGCGGCCGCTCCGGGCCAGGCCGCCCAGGCACCCCGCGCCCCGCCACCTCCCGCCGTCCACCCGGTCCCCACACGCCTCGCCGAGGCAGGATGTTCTCGTCCAAGTCCAACTCCGTGTCGCCGTCGCCGTCCCTGGAGCAGGCCGACTCGGACGCGCTGGACATCAGCACTAAAGTGCAGCTCTATGGGGTGCTGTGGAAGCGGCCCTTCGGGAGGCCGTCGGCCAAGTGGTCTCGGCGGTGAGTGCCCCCGACCCCTGCAACACAGCGGGGACATCCCGGACCTCATCCTGGTCCTGCCTGTCTTCCTCTGTGACCTTGGCCTCACCCTTTTCACACTACGCTGACTCCGTGCAAAATGTGGCTCGGGGGGCCGGGGAGATAGCTCAGTAGAATAACGCCTGCCTAGCAAGCGAAGGGTCCTGAGTTCAATGCCCAGTAACGGAGGGGGGGAAGCATAAACAAAAAAAGATGTGGCTCAGCCTGGGTGAAGCGAGCTGGGGGAACCGTGGGTGCAGATGGGAGGGGATGAGTGGCAGGAACCGAGTTTGCATGTGGGCCGACAAGATCGCTGCTGCAGGGGGTCAAAAGGGTCTCAGCCTGCCCATCTCCGTCCAAAATACGCTCTTGGGACCCACCGTTAATTCCATCCTGTTCACCGGGTCTCAAGGAGCCCTTAGAGGCAGGCACCTCTGTCTTCCAGGGCCGGTCTGAGAGGTGACTTTCCAGGTTTCAGTAGGCACTTTCCACTTCCCCGGGGGCCTGACAGGTTGGGGAAGGGGAACTCACAGGCTTCAGGTACTGTGGGCCTCTTCTGGATGGCTTTTGCACCCAGACCTATTTCTGAGACTGTATTTGTGTGGCCTAGAAAATTCAGACCCTGTCCCATCCCCTTTCCAGAAGAGGGACCTTTCTAGGATGCTAGAAGCACATTCAGATGCCCCTTCCTCATGCCTGAGCAGAGGGGCCTCAGAGGTCGGCACCACAGGTCACCTGCATAGAGCAGCGCTTAATGCTGATGTTCACTTCTGATGAATAATTTACTATTTCTGTAAGACCACAGAACAAATGGAGCGCTGGCTGGCATTCCACGTTTTACGTAGCTGGTTCCGTGGGTTTTTACTACGTCTGACAGATTTCTCTCTGGAGTTTAATGGGATATAGGCTGTCTTTCCTCCAAAGTTAAGTTGATGCCCAAGGCTTTAAATGGGAGCTTTTAAATGGGGGCATGGAATTATGTGAGGGCCTCCCAGGGCTGTGCTGTCTGAGCTGCAGCCCCTGAAGGCCAAGAGCAGTCTGCCAGGCATCTGAGTGGGGGTGGGAAGGCTGCTTGTGGCTTTGGGTTCCATTAGCAGAATTGGTGTCCCTGCCCGCTTTGCCTGGCTGCCAGGGGCCGTCTCCTCCCTGCAGTCTGACTGTGGTCCCAGGCACTCCTTTGCGTCCCACTCTCTGAGACTTTTCTTGCCAGGTGTTTCTGCCTAATTACACCCCAGGGTGTGTCCTGTGGTCAGCAGGTGCAATGAGGACCTGGCTGCTTCACCCACAGTTGCTTTAGGGGCTGAGAAGTAGCCCCATCTTGCTTCCCAGTTTCTCTTTTGTGGAGCAGACTCTCTGGTGCTCAGCTAATTAATGGTCGGGGACATTGTGGCGCAGGCCCACCACTGCAGAGCCTTGCCATTAGGGCGGTCGATGCCCTGGTGGGGCCATGGAGGAGAGGAGGGCCTAGAAAAGCTCTGTGCTGCATAAATAATGAGTGGGCAGCTGAAATCAGCTGCAGCTGGCTGGGTTCTATAAAGCTGCTTCCTGTCAGGGTCTATCTTAGGATGTGGGCCTCCCGCCCCTGCGGCTGAAGCAGGCCTGAGCTAAATCCTCAGCTTATTTTCCCATTGGGCAACAGAAAGGGAAGGGAATCAGAAGCATTAGTTAGCCAGAGAAGAGAATCTGGGAGAGATGTCTAGAGGGTGAGATTGATGCCTCTGTCTTCCCTTCTGTCCCAGAGCAGTGGGGACACCGGGGCCAAGACCTGGCCACTGAGACAGCAGGGAACAGAGTGGGGAGTCTCCACCTGTTCCAGGACCTGCGCCAGGGTGGGCTGCTTATGTAACCCGGCTCTGTCCCAGGCTTCAGACTTTGTCCCACTCTTGCCATGCTCCTCTCTCCATACCTTCTACGGACAGAGGTCTTGGCGCAGGGGCCCAGCCAATTCTTTCCTGTGACGAGAACAGCTACACTCCTTGTCCCCACTTTGCTGCTGGGGCCAGGGACTAAGCTCTCCCTTTGCCAGCCTCTGGCTCCTGGTGTCCACCTGGTTCTATGGAGGCTCCGTGGAGACAGTGCCCACAGGTCTCAGCAGTGACTACACAGATGTGGAGAGGTTTTCTGTACAGATGGTGGTCACCACACCAAAATGACTTGATTTTTTTTTCCCCCACATAGATTTGGGCTCAGGATTTTGTGTTTGTCTTTGCCTTGGAGCCCTGCTTTCCAGAGGTGACACTAAACCACCAGGCTTGGCAAAAGGCTGAGGAGAAGAGCCTAGCGGGTCAGCTGTGCAGCACCAGGCTGAGCGCCACCCTGTGACATTGCTTCACCTCACACTCTGGCATTGCCTACAGCCGGCTGTGTAAGCTGTCCCAAGAGCACAGCTGTAGCACCTGTGCTGTGACAGCTGACTGCACCACTCTGCCTTTAATAATCAATCTAGGGCCAGCCAGATAGCTCAGCAGACTAAAACACCTGCTTAGGGCAGATGCAGGGACTGGGGCTCAATCCCTGTCGTGCTGTGCTGCCCTGCCCCTGGGGCACACTGAGGCCCAATTGAGACTGGGCGTAGTGGCATGTACCTGTAATCCTAGTGCTTGGGAGGCTAAAAACAGGAGGATCACTACAAGTCCGATCTGTGTAGTGAGACCCTGCACACCCTGTAGTAAATTTAAAAAAAAAGAATCAACCTGTGTTCTATAAACTTCTGTCAGTAGGGTGTTGTGGGTGGGGACATGGCCAAGTGTCAGTGGAGGATCCTGTGATTGGGTGTGACAGCACAAGAAAGGGGGTTGGGGATGGTATCTCTGGACCTAGAAAACAAAGAGTGACCGATTTTACTTAGTACTAAAGGTTTCATGTTTTTCTCCCTTGTTTTAGTTTTACTTTCTCCTTGTCTCAGAGCCATTGCCCCTCCCCCAGGCCCATGGACAGGACAACAGGGAGCAAGCAGAGGAAGGTGTCTTGCTGTCTCCCATCAACTGCTACCTCCCTGAGCTGATGACAGTGAGGTTAAATCTATCCTCGCTGAGGGGGCTGGCATGACCTCTGGGTCACAAGCCGTAAGATGAACTAACACTTGTCCATTCAGACTTTGCTAGGCTCTCCGGATGGCTTGCCTGGATCAGGTCTGCCAAAGTAAGAGTTAGTTGTGCAGACAGGTCTGTCTCCATACTTGCTGGCCTATTTGAAAACAAGTCTCACCATGTGGGAGCCAGACCTTGAGCTGGCAGGAGACTCGCCCTCCTTATGTCCAGGACAGGAAGAGAAGTTTCTTCTGAGAGCAGCTGTGAGTGTGGTGGCGAGAATCTAGGCTTCGAGGCAGGGGACTCTGGCCCAGGCTGGGGCAGGCTCATCTCTTTGCTGGCAGGGGGAGTCTTGTCCACAAAATGGGGGTGGGTTTGACTGTTTTTGTTTTGTCTTTTTGAGACAGGGTTTCACTATTTAGCTCAGGCTGGCCTTGAACTCACTTTGTAGCCCAGGCTGGCCTTGAACTTGCAGTGATCCTCCTGCCTCAGCCTCCTGAGAGCTAGGATTACGGACATGTGTCACCATTCCTGGCCTCAAGTTGTAGTTTTTAAACTGTGTCCCATAGGTGATTCTAGAAATGGGAGTCTGCCAGGAGGGCGGGAGAGCAGATGCTGAAGCTCCACCTGCTTCAGCCAGTGCAGCCCATCTACCCGTTTTGCATATTAAGTATGTCTTTAAAGAATTCTGGCTGGGAGCAGTGGCTTACATCAGAGGCGGGAGGACAGCTGGTCTAGGATACAGAGCTAATTCAAGGCCACTTAGACTAGTGAGATCCTGCCTCAAAAAAAAAAAAAAAAAAAAAGAAGAATTCTACTAAAATTTTGCCTGGATACCCTGCTGGTCTCTTCAGGGACTCACGTATGTCAGGGGTAGGATTGTGGCTGTCCTTCTGTCTCAGGCCCAACAGCAGACAGCCTGGGCTGGGATGAGCATCCCCCAGGCATACAGCTGGACAAGTGGAGGGGCTGCCCCCCATCTCCCTGCTGCTACCTCCCCAAGGATGCTTTGGTTAGCTGCCCTGCCCAGCTGCAGCTCCCACCCCCACGAGGGGCACCTTGGAGGGCAAAGTGCGGCTGGGCCTGTGCTGGCAGCTTATGCTGGGCAGAACTCAGAGCAGCTCACGGGGCACTGGACTCATCTTGCCCTCATGAGTGACTGGCCCCAGCACCAAATCCCACTGGAAGTCACATCCTGTCCCAGGTCCCTGCTCCTCCCAGGCTCCTCCAAGCCTGGGTTCCCTCCCTTAGGGATTGGGTCGCTGTCCCATGTTTGGGTTCAGTTGCTGCCTTAGTCTGAGCATACTTCCCCATGGCCACACACACACTCATGTCTCACACACACATGTCTCACACAGGTGTCGCAAGTCCAGCATACAATGCTGCAGGGAAGGGGTGGCCATGAGGAGGGTCAAAGAGCACTTAGAGCACAGAAGTGTGAGCACCTTCAAGCTGATCATCAGCTTGGTTTCCAAGCCACCTTCATTAAAGCCTCTGTGGGACCCAGATGCTTGCTTCTTCCTTGGTTCTCTCTTCTCTGCGCCCCCTTTACCCTTTCTCCCCTTGCCCACCAGGATTTCCCCCACTTTCACATTTTCCCTGCTGTGCTAGGCACAGCCCTCCCAGCTCCTCTTCCCAAATTGGGGGTTTTCATCTGCAAGCACTCGGGTTTCCCCAGGGCCAGTGCCCTGGCGCTGCCTTCCTTCCCTGGGACCTGCCCACTTCAGAAGGTACCTGTGGTCTATGTAGCATTTTTCTCAGCTCCATGTAGCTGTGGCTGGGCCCTAACTGCATTCGGATCACAAGGTTGTGTGTGGGGGGACTGAGCTTAACACCACCCTGGGTCCCCTCACTCATGGTAGATGGCTCCTATATCCACCCTTGTACCCAAGGAGGGTCCTTAGTGCCATTGCAGTTAGCTGCCCATTCCTGGCCGATCATCCAACAAGCCTGATGACTTTCTGCCTCTGAGTAACTCGCATTTGGTCCTGTGCCTGGCCATGGACTCCTCCCCATGTTGAAAACTACAGCTCGATCTTGCAAGGACTAGAGCTCCCCATCTGCAGGAGGAAACCCGCCAGCTCCCGGCCTGCTCCCCTTTCTCACCCTAACTCCTCCTCCTCTGTGTGACACAGTGACCATCTGCATGCTCTTATCTTCATGTAAGAGTCAACTTTTCTTTTGTTTGCACTTACTAGGGATCAAACATAGGGCACCATAGCACTGAACTGCACACAAACACACTACACATGTGCACGCTTGCGCACGCACACACACACACGCGCGCGCGTGCACACACACACACACACACACACACACTGCCCTTTTTAAATTCTGAACCTAACACAGGCTGGACTCCAACTTGCAGTCCTCCTCCCTGAGCTCTCTGGATGCTGGGATTGCAGGCACCACCACCCCGACTTTAACCAAACTTATTTTGGTGACCTTGAACACAGTATTCTCTGCATAATCCCTTTTCTCTAGTCTAGAACACACCTTTTGGCCTTCTACTTACAAATTTCTAAGCTACTCCTGTTTCTTTTTCAAAGTCCTGCTTGGTTGTTCCTTCCTCTCTGAGAACTTCCCTCTGTGGACCCCTCAACCATTCACTGCCCCCACTCTGCACTGTGTGTGTGTGTGTGTGGCTTCTTTGAGACAGGGTCTCACTGTGCAGCTCAGGCTGGCCTTGAGCTCACTTTGTAGCCCAGGCTGGTCTCAAACTCTCAACAACCCTCCTGCCTCTGCCTCCCGAGTGCTGGGATTGCTCTCGGTCTGTACTCTGGCTGCGCTTCCTGTGTACTTCCTATGTTGTGGTATGTTCTGATGCTTTCTGACGTGGCCATGTGCAGTGCAGCCTGCAGTATCCCTTGCTGCCTTTACATTTTGTCCTCTATCCCAGTGCCCAGCACCCAGTACCGTGTGATCTGGAGCTTGTTGTCTAACTTCTCTGGGCTCTGGTTTCCCTGCCTGCCTCCTGTAAGTGGTGAATGAATTAGCGCACACAATGCTGGTTCTAGCAGAGTGCCTGATCCAAAGATGGACTTGGTAAACATCAGCTATTTTTATAAGTATTGATTTCTACATTTTCTCTCTTGCATTCAACCCTGAGCTCCAGGAAGGCCCTGAACTGTCCAGCCCTTGGAGCAGCATGGTACCTGCCTATATCAGGCAGCTCTTTAATGCACTCTGGCCTGTACTGACCAGGGGCTTGGGGTCCCCTTGCGGAGATCGAAGCAAGAGAGACCAACAGCTACCGCTTGTGAGTGATGAGGAGGCCTGCGCAGCGCAGAGCGTGAGCAGCTGAGACTTGGGGCTGCATCAGCAGAGACAGCTGAGTTCCAAGTGTGCCACTTGCTTAATCTCTCTGGGCCTCAGTTTCCCCACCATTGAAGTAGAAAAAAATGACACCTCTATCTCTTAGATTTGTTGTGAGAAATTTAAATGAGGCAATGCCAGCGACACACTTAGCAAATCGACTGTCTTGCCACCTTCTCTAAATAGTCTTTAATTTAAAGGTGAAAATACTGTTCTGTGATACCAGACAGGAGGCTGCCAGGACGGGTACAGACCCTGTGCAGCATATACCCTGGGCTTTCACACAAGCACAGGCAGAAAAGAAAGGGGCCAAAGGCTAGGACCCAACACAGGGCTTCTTCCAGGTTGGTGTTGGCCTTGGGAGCAGGGGCTTCAGACAGGGAAGGGGAAGCGTCCTTGGGCTGTAGCTGCCAAGCACTCCCGTCGGGGGAGCTCTATGTCCCGCAGGTAGGAAAGAGGCCAGGGGAGGCTGCGGTGGATTGTGACTCTGAGTCCCGAGTAATAGCTGCCTTAATAAAGGAAACACGACCTCTCTGCCAGGACATTCTAAGTCTGGGCTCACTCCTGACCCCAACATGAGGAATGAAAGGATTCCACCATCAGCATGGTCCATGGGTTAAAAAGCAAAGTGCTCTTAGCGGAGCCACACTGCCTGAGGGGGACTGGATCAGGGATGACTCCCAGGCCTTGCGCAGCCAGCCTAACCCTGGGGGGCCCACAGGAGGTTGCCCCAGGGTGTCTGAGAGGTCAGAGCTGGGCCCCACCAGCTAAGAAGAAGCTGAGGCTCCGCACAGAGCAGCGGCCTCCATGGGGCAGATTTGGAAGCTGGTCAGACCCCACCCCAGCACCTTCAGAGTGTGCTTGGGGAAAACCTCTGAAGTCTGCCTGCTCCACTCCCTTTGTCCCCACCTTCATCGAGCTGACCACAGATGGAGCCAGGCTACAGTGTGGCACAGGTGACAAGTGTGCCCTTCACCATCCCTGCAGCCATGGTGGCACTGGGACTGTGGCAGTCTGGCTGGTGGGGAGCACAGGCTGCCCTGGACGTCCGCCTCTGCCTGCTGCATTCTGGACTGCACTTCAGAAGGAGGGGCTGGGTGGGTGTGGTGGCACATGGCTACGGTCTCAGCACCTGGGGGTTGAGACAGGAGGATCTCCATGAGTTCAAGGCCAGCCTGGGCTACACAGACCCTAACTTTTTTTTTTTTTTTTTTTAAAAGAGGGTTGACATTTGGGGCCACATTCTGTGAGCTCAGCACACCTCCACCCACCAGAGCCCTGGTCCTGTCTTGCCCCCTCACCACGTGTGGCAATGGCTCTGACAATCGGTTCTAAACTTGGCAGTCTTCCTCGGTGGGTGTAAGCCTGGTTCCTTCAGTTCCTCTCAAAGTCCTCCCGTGGCCATTTCCCTACCCAGAGAAAGAGTCAGCCTCTCCTAGGCAGCTGGGTGGCTTTTGGCAAGTTGCACCACCTTTCTGCCTCCTTTCTGTCTGCATAAATGCCGGAAGCACCCATCTCATAGGAGAAGTGGGATAAGTGCATTAATACAGAGAACTGCTTGGAGTAAGTGGTGGCTTGTGATAAGGACCACACAAGCGTAAGCCGTCGTTTTTGTTAGGGCAAGCTCAGTTTCTTTATTAGGCTCCCTCTGCCATAGTCCAGTATTTCAAAAGCTGTTGAAGGGAACGGGGGCAGCTCTGTGCGGCTGAGTTTCTGTTACTTGTCAACCCCAAACCTGACCCATCCCTCAGCAGGGTTCTGGTGAGGGGCACCTTCCTGATTCATAGGCAGCCAACTTCTCAGTGCAGTCTCACATGACAGTGAGGAGAAGGGGTTTGGAGGGCTAGAGGGAGAGGGAAGGAAAGGAAGGGAGGAAGATCTTGTTGTAAGGCCACAGTCCTGTTGGATTAGGGCCTTGCCTTTTTTTTTTTTTTTTTTTTTCAGAACTGGGGATTGAACTCAGACCCTTGCTCTTGCCAAGCAAGTGCTTACTCTACTGAGTCTTCTCCCCGGCCCCAGCCTTGCCTTTATTAACCCCGAGAACCATAATTATCTCCAACTTTGTGGTTAGGGCCTCAGCATATGAGTTTGGTGGTGATGGGGAACACTAATATTTTACAAGTAGTGGAAGAGGGTTGAGACAGCTCTGCACCACTGGTCTCACCTTTCATGTGGAAATATGTGGCAAACCATGCACCATTCAGCCCTGTTCCGGCCTCACAATAACCACATGAGGTAGGTGTTATCACACCTCCCCTATAGACAAAAAACAAGGCCCCAAGAGCCAAACCCCCAGACTGGAAAGTGGCCAAATGCATCATCTGGAGAACCAAAGTGGCCTGGAACCAGGGGCCCTCTCAGGACAGGAGAAGCGTGAAGGGTGTGGCAGTGGATGCCACATGCCCAGCCTACTGGCTGAGTACAGCAGAGCACAGAGGTCAGTGCTGGCTGGACTGGTCCTCCAGGCAGAGGAGGCTCAACCAGGTCTGCATCGCCCCCACCCCCACCCCCACCCCCATATGAGGCTTTGGGAAGGAGCTCATGGCTGGTATATCTTCAGTGGATATACTGGTGGTTCGCTGACTTAAGGAGAACTTGAGTTCCCTGAGCAATGTTTCTTTGTCTTTTTTTTTTTTTTTTTTTTCCTGTGGTACTGGGGATTGAACTCAGGACCTTGCACTTGCCAGGCAAGCACTTATTCTACTGAGCTATCTCCCCAGCCTACTGTGAGCAATTTTTCAAGCCCCTGCCAAGATGTTTCCAGCTAGTAGAGCTGGGAGCTGTTTGAGAGCAGCTTCTTGGGAAAGGGGCAAGGCAGTTCTCTAGTGTTTGGTTTCTGTAGTGTAAGTTCTCCGGCCTGGGCAGGACCAGGTCGTGAGTACCATGTCCCTGATCGCAGAGTGGGTGAGGTTCCCACTGCTGCTCTTCAGAGTCCACCCCGCAGGCTCCAATACCCCACTGCTCTGAATCTCCCTGATGCACACACACTTGCACACGTGAGCATGCAGATGCACAACAGCTCACTCTCTCCAGCACACCCTGCCTGTTTCCCAGCACCACACAGTGGCCCTGGAGGAAGAAGCTGGCCAGTCTCAAATCTCTGGAGACACTGGCTGTTCATTCCCCTAGTGGGTACTTGGTGTCTTATAGTCAGCCTCAGTCCTTCCTTCCAGAAGTGTCCCCAGGGTAGGCCAAGAGCTCATCTCCCCAATAGTCAGGAGGGGTCAAGGGCCCAGGGTCCCTAAGTTAGCCCTGAGTCCCAGGAGGCAGAAGGCTGTGCAGGCATCACTACCCTGTGGGGGTTGGGCTGGGCCCTTGGCCTCAGCTGCCTGCACCCAGTTCCATCTGGCTGCCAGCTCTCAAGATGACACTGAAGACCCACCTTGGGATCATGTACCTTTGTCATCCCTTCCCGCCATCCTGTTTGGGTGTTGTGCCCAGAGTGACAGTTCAGAGGGTAACCAGCCGGGGCCACACTGGTGCAAGGGCCAGGCTGCCTGCAGGAGAGGCCTTCTGAGGCCTTTGTGCAGACGTGGACTGCGAGCGGGTGTCCCCAGGGCCCCCACAGGCATGCTTGTTGTCAGGAGACCTCACCTTCCTCTCCTGGTTGCCATCCCTCCCACCATTCTCTAGGTTCTTCATCATCAAAGAGAGCTTCCTGCTTTACTACTCAGAGAGTGAAAAGAAGAGCTTTGAAACCAACAAATACTTCAATATACACCCCAAGGTGAGATAGTGCTTTCCCATGGCATGGCGGGCCAGGCCCATGGGGACACCAGGGGTTAGGGGAAGGAAGGGTGAGTCGCTCTGCTGCAGGCCAGCTGGGAGTATTGAGCATAGACCCTCATGGGGTACAAGACTCCCATCCACTCCAGGGCTGCACCATGGCCTCTGTTCTCCTGGAGTCTGTTCTGGCCTCTAGTGGCCTCAGGGTCTAGTCCAGTTGGGGCCCTTGGCTTTGTCGAGGGTCCCTGAGTGATCAGAGCTGACAGGGCGGGGGCTGCCTGCTCTGGTTCCTCCTCAGGGTGTCATCCCTTTGGGGGGCTGCCTGGTGGAGGCGAAGGAGGAGCCCAGCATGCCCTATGCCATGAAGATCTCGCACCAGGATTTCCATGTGAGTCAAGGCCCCTCAGCCAGGGCTTAGTGGGGCTCCCAGCTTCCTGCCTCCCTCCTCAGGACAACCCTATAGTACCTTGGTGGGGGATGTCAGTGCCCAGGTGACAGGAGAACAGGGTGGTCTGCTCTCCCTCGGCATGGCCGCCTCTCAGGCTTGCCCATGGCTCCTCTTCCTGGCAGGGCAATGTCCTGCTAGCTGCGGAGTCTGAGTTCGAGCAGACGCAGTGGCTGGAAATGCTGCAGGAGTCTGGGAAGGTGTAAGTGCTTGGCTGGAGGTAGGGCAGGTGGGAGGGAGGGCTGCATGTGGCCCTGAAGATGGAGCCAGTGGGGTGCCCGGAATGCTTGGGATTCTGGGGGGCACTGAGGGAGCGGGCCAGGATGAGTAGGGGGAAACAGATCAGATGTCAGGGCATTTCTGCCGTTCCTTGATGGAGCCAGGGAAGCCACTGTAGTCACAGGCAGCAGAGGTGGACATCAGAATGTTCAACTCTTGGGAGCAAATTCAGTGCCACTGGGTATGTTTGGCACCTCCTTGAAGCCTCTTCACCCCCAGGGAGGACCAGAGCCAGCGCTTTGTAAGCATATTCTAGATCACAGCAATCCTCAGGCGACACGGTGTGTTTGCGCGTAAATGCCTCTCCTAGGCCCCCAAAACAGCACCGTGTCACACCCTGTGCCTGTGCCTATGCTCAGGGTGCTGTGCAGTGGTGCAGATGCCACCCAGAATACAGTCTCTTTCCTGTTCTGAAAGCGCTCCTGGGCCAGCCCCAGTGGCCCACTTTGCAGCCCGGGCATCCTCCAGGCTCTGTAACTGATCGATGCTGGTTTTGTGCCCAGAGCCCCGGGTGCCTCCACCAGTGACAGCACATGCTGAGACTCTGGAGAGAGGGTGGACCACCCCACTGAATTCATGCCTCTGTTTCGTCCTCCTCTCTCCCCTATCCCACCTGCCCTCCCTCCCCAGGACCTGGAAGAATGCCCAGCTGGGAGAAGCTATGATCAAAAGCCTGGAGGCCCAGGGGCTGCAGTTGGCCAAGGAAAAGCAGGAGTACTTAGGTTGGCTGGAGGGGGTCTGAGGGCTCCTGAAGTAGCCCATGGGGGGCCTGGGAGGGGTGTCTCAGGGGGCTCGCCGGGCTCCTCTGAAGAGGCCTGGCAGGCTTCCTGGGGCCTTGACTGTCCTTTAGGCCAGTGCAGCTGGAGGCAGGTGGCCCTGGTGGCTAGGGGCCTGCGCTCTGAACTCAGCCTTGTCATTCGATCAGCTGCGCATGTCTTTAGGCAGCACAGCCACTCTAAACTCCGTTCTTCCTCCTTAACATGGAGATAAAAATAGTCTTCAGCTTTTAGAGGCAGAGTGGCAGTTGAGGGAAAAAGCTGTGGTACTTGTGTTGGGTTTGAAGTGAGAATTCGGAGACTGGAGCTGACCTTGTCATCCAGCAGGGGCCCTGGGTCCTGTACTGGGAAGAGAGATGGGCCTTGCTCGCTGCCTGGGGCCTTTCCTCTGTCTACACTGGAACAACCCCATGCAGCTTCCCTCTGCCACTCCACACACCCACTCCCTCACCCCAGACCCCTGCCCTCCCTGCCCGACGCCAGTGCTCGTGGGTCCAGGGCTGAGGACTAGGCTGGCTGTGGCGGTCCTTGGGGCTGCCAAGGCTCACAGATGAGGTTCTGTCATGGCCCCACAAACACACAAAGCAGGGGTGACAACCAGAAAGGAGGGAGGCAGCCTGGGCCATGGAGGTAGCTTCCCTCTCCAGCAGGGCTACTGAGCTCTTGCTGGAGTAACAAAGGCCACCTCAGACCTGAAGGAACCTTTTGTGTGTGTGTCCTTGCTTTGGCAGACAAACTGATGGAAGAGACCGAAGAACTGTGCCTACAGCGGGAGCAGAGAGAGGTAGGTGAGCAGGAAGATGTTGGGGCCTGCCCCGCCTCCACCCTGCCCACCACGGCCCACAGCATGTTTCCAGCTCCATGTCAGAGGGTGACACAGGGCTCTGGGCACCCACAGGTGCTCTGAGAGTCAGATGGGGTGGGGCAAGAGGCCGAGAGATGGCAGTGCTTGGCCCTGGCAGGAGTGGTAGGAAGTGTTTTTCTCTGTGCCAACTCAGAAGGGAAATAAAAAGGGCAGGGACACCATCTAAGGAAAAAGCCATCCAAGTGCTTCGCAAGCTGCTTGTCACTGATACTCACAGGAGACCGGAATGACCTCTGTGAACCAGAGCTGGGGGTTGGCCCCATTAGGGTGGTGGTGTTTGGTGATCTTGGGGTTCCTTTGTTCTCTGCTGACATCACGGTTCCTAAGCAGGCTCATGACTGGCTTGACGCAGCCTGTGGGACCAAGCGGACTCTTGCCTCATTGGTGCCACTAAAGTTCAGGTCATGTCAGATCTCAGGGCAGTGTGGGCCTCGCCTGAAGGGAGGGGTAGGGTAGGAGTTTGCAGTGTGAAATCTGGAGCTGCCAGCCTGTCTTTGAGTCTGATCTGCGTCTCTTCTAGCTGTGTGAACTCAGACAAGTCAGTTATCCTGTCTGAACATCAGTATTCTCACCTGGAAAAGGAGAGCAACGACAGAACCTGTCTTCTGGGGGACATTGGGAGGACAAAGGGAGATATTCCAGATCAAGTGCTCAGCGCACAGACATGCATAATGAGTGTCTGTGTTTATTAGCACATGTGGTTATTACCTTTGGCCCCTCCTGCACCTGACCTGTGAGACTCGAAGCTGTAGAGCGGCTTGTCCAGAGGACCCCACAGCACAGGGTCCTGATGGCGTCCGCTTCTCTGCCTTGTCACTTTGCCTCATCCCCTTGCTGGCAAGCCACAGAGCCAGGGCTCACAGTCAGGGCAGTTTCAGTGCCTGCTCTTGGGGTTCTACACCTTCCTGACCACCCCTCATGGGGCTCTGCAGTCAGGAAACACTGTGTGCCCCTCACACCCCAAACCTTCCTAAGGCTGCCAGCACCTGCCTGGGGTAGGGAATGAATCAGTAGTTTTAACCCAGTAGGACAATCCACTTTTATTTTTCTTCCAAAATTGTGTCGGTTATTCCGGCCCATTTATTCCAATTGGATTTCAAGTCATTTGTTGATTACAAAGAATAGAGAAGGATTGAGCCTATGTACCTGGAAGCCTGGATTTGAGGATTGTCTGCGCCCTGGGGGCTGGGCCTCCCTGTCAGCAGGCTCCCACCTGGGCCCCCGTTTAGAGTAAAGGCGATTCTGCCACACAGTCCTGGGTATTGAGTGTGACTATAGCGTATTAAAGACAGGTGATTTGAGAAGCTGGGATGGGATGAGGTGATGGACACAGCCACTACCAGGGAGAGACTTAGCCATCAGAGAGGCTAAATCTGGGGCACAGTCCGCTGGAGGAAAATTTAGACACACTATCTAGGTCTTTAGCCAGGAAATTAGGCCAGCAGAGACCTGCTACACACAGACCTTGCTTACTGCCAGCGCCCGTTGGAGGAGACCATCAGCTATGAACTCGCTTTTTGGGGTACAAAATGGAAGTAAATCTCGGGCCCAGCTGGCATCTGCAGTGCTGGGTGCTGTGCAGGCAGGAGAGACAGAACTGGGCCCAGGTGCACAGGCCCTGTCCACCACGTGCTCTAGATGAGCAGCTTTTCCTGGCCCCGGCCTCTGAGTCACTCCACCAAAGTTTCCTTTCTTGTTCATTGGTAGCATGGGTCTGCTTGTCCTCTGTCCCTTCACCATGTCCACCCCAGGCAGAGACTGCCAGGTGTGCTTGCAGGCACAGAGAGGCATCCAGTACCATGGTCCAGTGGTAAAGATTCTCCTGATATTTTGTGGGGTCTGTCGGGGCCTGACACCGGGAGGCTTGGAGTAGAGCTTCAGCTTTGTAGCTGACTGTGTGACCTCGGGCCTGTCCATTGAGTTCTCTGAGCTTCAGTGTCTGCAGCTGTGAGGTCTCACCCAAGCTGTGAGTGCTCCCACCTACAGCCTAGATGGAAAGTACGGAGGGTCCATGTGCCCTGCCCTTGTGAGCCTGCCTCAAGCCCTGGTGGGGTGGGGGTGCTGAGCAGAGGTACGGAGAGTGCCACTCTGGACCCAGCTGCTCTGGGCTAAAGGACCGTGCTTTTGCTGGTGTGCGAGTCTCCCTGGGTGTGTGTGGGGGGGGCTTGTCCCCCTCCCCTGTCCCCCACACACTGGAGGAGGGAGCTTGCCTTCCTTTACCTGTCTGGCCAGGGGGTGAGAGCCCATGCTCACGTGAGGGCTGGGGTGTGGGAAATCAGACAAGCCCGGGTGGCAGGGTGTAGCCATGTCACACTCCCGCTGGGAATATGGTATGAGTTAGAAAGAACCTCACACATTTCACGTGTGAAGCCCTTTGCCGACCCCTGGTCCTGATTCTGGGCCACTCACCGCTTCCACGGTTATTGAAGGTGTTTCCTTCATTGAGTTGAGGTTTGCCTTTTTTCTACCTTTGTGTACCTGCAGTTCATGTCAGGTCTGAGGATCAGTAGTATAACCAATGCAGCGCAGAAAGGCTTTCATGATGTCAGGTCTTAGCCAAAACGTGGACGCTAGTGGGGTTACTGCATTTGAACCGTCTTGGGCTACCGGAGCAGAATATTCCGCCCCTTTAGGGTCATAAGATGAACCTTCCCTTCTGATCAGCCTGTCTGGCTGTTCCTGAACATCAGCTTCTCTCAAGAGCCTTACAGCCTGACATGGTGTTGCACACCTGTAATCCTGGCACTCAAGAGGCTGAGGCAGAACGACCGTCATGACTGTGAGGCCAGCCTGGGTTACATGGTGAGATCCTGTCTCAAACAAACAAAACAAAACAAAAATCTTACAGGGGAAGTGAAAAGTACACAGGAAGTGAACCAGGAGGAAGGAGACACACACACCCTGCTCTCGTTTTCGCTTTCAGCAGAGTTGAGGGCAGAGTGGCGTTCCCACGTACGCTCCACTGCCCCCACCTGCTTGACTGCCTCTGTCCCACAGCACAGTTGCTACGGTCTGTGAGCCTGCCCTCCTTTCACTTTCACCCGAGGGCAGCGCTTGCGCTCTGGCTCCCTCTGGGTCTGTATTCTATGCATTTCTGCAGCTCTCTGATGGGCCCCCCACTGTAGTGTGCCGCATGGTTTCACTGCCCTAAAATCCTCCCTGCTGCAACAGTCACCTCTTGTTCCCCCAACCCTGGCAACCTTGCAGCTTTGTTCTGCCTCTGAGGTTTTCCCTGCTCCAGAATGTCCTATACTGTAGTTGGAATCATGTGCTGTGTAGCTTTTTTCATACTAGGTGGTTTGGGTTTTTGTTTGTTTGTTTGTTTTTGTTTTTGTGCAAGGTCTCACTACAGCTTGAACTTGTAGTGATCCTGTTTTCTGCCTCCCTAGTGCTGGGATTACAGGTGTGTAGGTGTGCGCTACCATGACCGGACTCAAGCACCGGGGGGGCGGGTTCAGTGTAGCATGCGGTGCCAGGAATCAAACCCTGGCCCCTGTGCTTGCCTAAGCAAGTGCTTAGTCCACTGAGCTATGTCGCCGGCCCTTATACTAGTTTCTTTTACTTAGTAATACTCATTTACATTCCCTTCATGTCATTTTGCACTTGGGAGCTCATCTTCAGCATCAGGTCATGCTCTGCTGTTGGGGCGTACCACCACATTCTCTTTATCCATTCTCCCTACTGAAGGACATCTTGGCCACTTCTAAGTTCTGGCAATTATATTTATGTATTTAATGTAGTTAGTACAGGGTCTACAGGGTCTCACTACAGAGATCGAACTCTAGTGATTCTCCTGTTTTCAGCCTCCCAAGCACTGGGATTAGAGGCACGGACCAGCACACCCAGTCTCAGTCGTGGTCTCAGCGTGCCCCAGGGGCGGGGCTGGCGTGGTGGGCTGGGGATCAAACCCCTGCTCCTGTGCTCTGCCTAAGCAAGTGCTTTCGTCTGCTGAGCTATCTGGCTGGCCCAGCTCTGGTAATTATAAAGCAAACAGCTGTAAACATCAGTAGATAGTTGTTTGTGTGCGTGTTTATTTCAGTTCATTTCAGTCAGTAACAAGGAGAACGATTCCTGGATGATATGGGAAAATAATGTTGGTTTTGTAAGAAGCCTGCAGACTTCTAAAGGAGCTCAGCCAGTTTGCATTCCCATCAGCAGTGAATGGGAGTCCCTGTTGCTCTGTTTCTGCTAGCATTTTGGTGTTGTTAATATTTTGGATTTTGGCTACTTGAGTAGATGGGTGATGGTGCCATGTTGCTTCACCTAAGGATATATGCTGTTGAAGGTTTTTTATATGCTTACGTGCCATTTGTAGACCTTTAGCTGGGTGTCTCTTGTGGTCTTTGGGCCATTTAAAAATCTGAATTGTTCCTTTTCTTATTTATTTATTTATTTATTTATTTATTTATTTTTGGTGGAACCGGGGATTGAACTCAAGGCTTGCCAGGGAAGCGCTTATTCTACTGAGCCATCTTCCCGGCCCCTTATTGATTTTTAAGAGTTCTTAGGTTTCTGGCTTCTTGTCAGCAACATCTGCAAGTGTTTGCTTCCACCCTGTGGCTTGTCTCCTTGCCACCGACGGCCACTTTGGAGGGCACTTTGGCAGCTTCCTACAAAACTCAGGTGCCTTTCCCCTGTGACTCAGCAGTTCTGCTTCTTGGCATCGTCTTTTGAAGAGCAGAAGTTTAAAACTTTTAGTGAGATCCAGCTTATTAGTTATTTTATACTTCCAGCCTTTGGTGTTGAGTCTAAAATGCCATCGTCCAGGTCACCCAGATCTTCTGTTATGTTCTAGAAGTTTCACAGTTTTGTGTTGTATAGTTGGGTTTATGGCCCTTTTTGAGATTATTTTTTGAGAAAGGTGTAAGGTTTATGTCGGGGTTCATTTTTGTCTCCTTCCTTCCTTTCTTCCCCTCACA